TCTGCTGCTCGATAGCAAAACAAGCTATTCCTAGAGGTTCCACAGCAGTTCCTAACCAGACACAAAGAATGAAGCACCCATGCTTGCCAATCATGTGGAGCATCAAAAAAAAAAAAACAAAAAAAACCCAAAACTCAAGCATCCATTTCCCTGTCTGACCAGGAACAGAAATTTCATCCTGCACTTTCCCATTTCACAAGAGAGAGAAGAATCACCCACATAGAACTTCTAAGTATACACATAATCATGTTTTCCTTGACATTAAGGTCAGACAATCACCTAAAATTTCTTAACTTATTTGACTGAGATGTCCACACCACTGCCATCCATCACTAATTTTGTCAGCAATTCAATTCAAATAAAGCAATGACTAGTTGGGGCTTATTGTTCTTCAAAGGCTATTTCAAGGCTATCTCTTGATTGTAAAAAAACTGCACCTCCTAACTGCTGATTTATTGGTTCACTGGTACCCTTAATACACAACACAATGCCCTCCTCCCAGCCAAGCACGGCTGGCTATGCTTAATGCTGTATGTCCACTCCTGACACACAAAATGTTGGGAGGCAAACAAATTCTCTATTGGCAACTATACCCCTCTTCGTTTCAATCCATAGACACACCTTAAGAAGTCTGTTAGTTAGTCACTGTAAAACCATACAATTCCACTTCATCCATACTATGGAACAAATCCCTCTGTAGTGACAGAATTCACTGCTTCTCCGAGGTCCTTTTGTTAATCCCAAACAATAAAGCTTAGTATTACAGAAAGGAAAGAAAGAGACAGCCCCCCACGCACATTTTAAAAGTGACTTCCCAGTACCAAACCCTCACAAGGTTTCCTCTTACAAGAGAAACATAACCTGTGAAGAAAACAACAGAATTAACTTCAAAGGATGGTGCAGGTTTGTATTCTCACATTCAATACAGAGGCACATACAAAAAGCAGGCTTTTCCAACTGCACTGCAATCCATCATTTGAAGCTTGTTTTGTTGCATCAGATGCTCATCTGTCTCAGGTGACAAGAACACACTGCTTATTACTTTATCCAGTCCGAAATCTGGCATACATCCCAGAGCTATGGGAAGGAGATAATGTAAATCTAGCTTTTCCCATGTATGGGAAGCCTTACAACACATTCTCCTGATTCTCCTCATATGTTTAGGAATGTATCTGCAAGAGCACTGCAAATTGTTTGACAGGATTAAATCAAAGCTACTGTTTGGACATATCATTATAATCATTTGTCCATGTAAAGTATTCTGTTCAAAATTCCTAGAGGACTGCCAGTGAAACTGCTAGAGAACTGCTAGAGAAATAACCAGCACAGGCAATGTTATTGCTCATGTCTCACAGCACTGCTGTATGCACACACATCAGAACACACTGCCCTCCTGCAAGCCTCTTTCCCTGCCCTGTGCTTTACCCGAGCCTTTACAGTAGGATTCCTGTACTTCATCATATGATAAAAACAATCTTCAGTCATCTGCATCAGCATGCAGAGCTTTGCAGGCATCTAACAGCACATTTGGGGCCTGTGTCTTTGGCAACACATCCTAAAATTTACTAACAGCCAAGGCTTTGATTCACAAACCATAAGATTACAAAGGACCACATGGATGTTTTCAGCTTTTGCTCCAATATCTCATCTAATCTGCACATAAAATGCTCCAAAAAATATGTCTTGCCCACTTCCCTTATGGAATCTCCAATGGCCAATTATCAAGGCTGTTTAAAATATTTTTGCTGCCTACCCTAATATTTTATGTCTTTAGTTTTGGAACTGTCAATACCTCAAAAGCCCAGAAACTTTATAATTTGAGGAGAAACACACAGTAAATATAAATGAAGTGTAATAAGTATTTGGAGATGCTATCTTTTTTCCCCTCAAACTAAATACTTCAGGCTGAATGGAGTGATTCTGTAAAACACATATTGCACATAGCAAAATGATACTTTTTATTCACAATTAACATTTACTTCTTCACCATTTATTTTACCAGTAGAAAGAATTTCCTAATAAAAGAGAATAACACACACTCTTCTCCCCTCTCCCCCCCCAAGGAATAGCAGAGCAGAAAAATGATTTAAAGAAAAACATCATTCTCTGGCAGAGGACTGACTGGAGTAGGTTAAATGCACTGATCATCCTCAGCATTCTCCAATTATACATGTGTATGGCTTGGCCTTGCCCAGTGTTTACATAACCCCTGCAACTAACATCTTGAACTATTGTACTGCAGCAAATATCACTACAAACATAAACAACTGCAAAAAAGCATCCAGGAAAAATATTGACAAGTTTGTAGCCCACAACTGTAGATGGTGGGAATTGGTGGAACCTTTGCAATGCAAACAGCGCCCCAAATCAGTTCATCACACAGAGAAAGTTTCCAGTGATAAGGGACGTATTTAGGGCATGTTCCCTTAAAGGCCTGTCTCCCATCTAGCAGCTCATTGTTCACAAATGGAACAGTGTTTACACAGGAAGAAGTCCAGTTTCAGCAAACGGGAAGTCCAGCAGATGTTTCCTTCTATCAAAGCAAAACAAGTTTAAAACAAGTTTGCAAATTGCTTTTGTCCAATTAGAAAGCTTCAAAATTAATTCTACTGAGGGGAAAAAAAAATACTCAACAGAATGACCTTGGAAAATAAAATCAGAAAAACTTTTCACAGTTTTCACAGAAAACTTATTTCAAAACTGCAGCAGCTAGAATGAATTCTCTTGAAAAAAAAAAAATTGGTCTTCTTTACGAATGCTTTATGATCCAGGTTTGGAGGAATAAAAGGAAAATTGTAATTTTCGTCTGTGCTGGAAAGTAGGGCAGATTGCTACTCACATGGCTCCACGTCTCCTCAAACCAATTAACCTCTCCTCTCCAGACCTCTTCCAACATCCCCTAGATTTCTGGCTGCTCTTGGCTTCTTCATTTTTCTTCAGATCTTCAAGTACCTCTTCCTCGGTACACAGCAATTAAATAATAGAAGTGGCTGAGCAGAGTATAAAAGGTATAGCTCTTAACTTTTTCTTCATTTTTTTTTCCTTTTTTTTTTTTTTTTATTTTAATTACTGGTACCAGTACACACTGGTTACACAGCAAGCATAAGCACTCTGAAAAAAAAGGATGAAGAATTTCATGCTTTGCCAAAGTAAGTTCGTTGAGAGGGTGATGTTACCCATCTGACTGTTTCACTGATCATCCCATTCAATACTTTCAGAATGTGCCTGATGTTATTGTATCATTACAATGGTAAAGAAAAGCTGGGTCTGGGCTCCTATTGCTCAGCTGAATCTTGCAGGAGCTGTTTCTTTTTCTGTAGCTAACAACATCTTGCTCTAGAAGATCAGATGAGAGCGACAAAGTAGTGCTGAGGAATTTTTCCAGCTTTTTAAAGCTTTTGTAAAATGCAACTGCAGAGCTTCAACAAATTAGACTAACAGCTAGATAGATACAAGTGTCAAAGCCAAGGATAAAATACTTTTAACTACAAGTATAACAAGTGCAGTCAGTGCGTGCAGCCTTCTGTACCCATCTTTGCCTCTGCAAGCCCATTCTTCACTAGATTTCATTCATCTCTTTTTCTAACTACTTTGTGAATATTATACAAAGATCCCACCTCCACAATATTCATGCACGGCATGCTTGGCACTGAGGTTCCTTACCCCAGTGGAGGCCTCTGCACATCCCAAAATGTATACAACAAAGTCAGAGCTATAATATGGAAGCAGTGAAAGACACCATTACTACAGTCAACATGAACATCAGCAGTCTGAAGTAGGCCCTGCCGTGGCATACTTCAGATCTGCCTATCAAACAGTTATGGCAGAAGGTGGAGGTGTTTTTTTTCTCCTTCCTCCAATAATCCTTTTTGTCCTTTAAGCAAATCTTAAATGTAATCTCAATCCATCAGCAGTTCTGTAAAGAAATACCAGCTCAGACCTAATTGGATTTGTCAGAAAATGACAGCTAACCAGTTCTGCAAGCCCTAGCAGCTGAACAGCTAGAGGAAAATCTTCCAAGTTGGAATGTAGAAAAATACAAAACTTCATTTCAAGAAGAAAATTTTCCTCTGAAAATAACTGGTAAAAAGATATAGTTCAAACCCTGTCCCTTAGCAACATAATGATGTGGTGTGGCATAGCTCAGGTTGTGTGAGCTGCTCTATATAGATTATTATTTACAGTTAACTGTTCAAACGTTGTCACTTCAGGTTGCTTTGAATTTGATAAGATTGCTCAATGTTTGCCTATGCAAACTTGCTTTTCTCTTACACTTTTAAACCACAAATAAGAAAATAGGAGAAAAAAAATGGAATACGTAACAGCAGTACTTAAAAAGAAGTATCTATTACATTGAATGTAAATGAAAAAAACTTGGAACATGCATTTTAGCTGAAGAGTTGAAATACCTCCTACACCTCTGGGCTTCTAGATGTTTTCTCACAAATACAAGAAAACAAACATGAACCTTGATTTGTTCTGCACATGCTTCTGGCTGGAATAGTGCATTTCAAGGACAGTCTAGAATACAGTGGCCCAAAGCCCACACAGGCATCCTCTCCAAATGATGAGACACAATGCATTACAGTGCTGCAGAGGTTACAGGTTAAATACATATAATAGGCCAAATCATACAGTGCTTTCAATGCATTTAAACTGTGATTTCCTTAATGGTGCCCAGATCCAGAAGAAAGAAAAGTCACTAGATGGCCTGTACATTGAGAATTGAAGTGACATTTATTTCACTGGCTTTAAAATGACAATCACTAATTTTTTTAACATTTATATTTAGGAGAATATCAGCTTGATCACTGACAACACCAATTGAAACACCATCATCTTCAGTATCTGCACAGTTGATAGGCAGCATGCCTATGACTCGTGAATAAAAGTTATCTTCACACTAAATTCAGATCCAGGTTTTGATCTGCGGCAAAAGCTATCTGAAATTGTATGGTTCACTGTCCGCATCAATAATCAGGAGCTGCACACTCTCCTACCTGTTGGCTTATCCACACCAAGGAATCCAGCTTGGCCCAGGGTTTTAAACACTTTATGTGCTGGGAACTGTCCTTCTTCTTCCCATTTGTCCACAAAGGGATTAATCTCCTTGTCGATGATCTAGATTTGAAAAATAAATTTAAAGTTATTGACAGAGACATTCTTACTGATACAATATTGACTATTTTTGTCTAAATAATTAAAAAAGGAAAAGAAAAACACAGGGAAAATTTTGAAAGCACCCACTCACAACTACTACAATAGCTGCAATGGGATAAATATAAATAATTCTTTTAGCAATTGCAACTAATGCAACAGCGATTCATTAGGACTGCTTTAAGCCCAGGAGAATGGCAATTCCCCATCATCATTTATTATCTCTTTGAGTACTATTTCTAGAAAGCAACAGGAAGAGAAATCTGGATTGTCCTAAGAGGGACGCAGCCAAGGATGGCTGGTGGCCTGTTCATAATGACCACATACAGCACACAAGACAAGCAAGTACAAGGGGCTTCAGTTCCCTTCTCTTTCTCTGAAATGCTCATCCTACAAAGCCTCAGATTCTCATGGCCATAAAAAGGGGGCAGATGGGCAATCTGCAGTTCTGCAGCTGAGTTCTGAGGAACAGCTCAACAGAGCCGGCACCATGCCTCAGTCCCCCGCACTGTGGTGTTGCTCCCTATGCCCACTGACGTTTCATGAGGCAGATGGTTTCAAATAACTTTCAAAAGGTGTCTATGATATGGTGTCCACCCCTTTCTATCTCCACAAGCCAAGCTGGGGGCTGGCACATGCTTCTGCTGGGCCTCCAAGTGCCTCGTGCAACTGGGTTAGCGCACACAAGAGCATTCAATAGTAAAGCAAAAAAGCCAGCAAACCACACCAAAACAAGTACCATTTCTCAATCAAATGTCCCTAGTTCATGACCACAATTTTATTGTTACACTGTTCTACAAAGAGAGAATTCATTATTTTAAGAACTTCTCTTAGTCTTTTCTCCATGCTAAATAAACAAGTCCTGTAGTGCTAACTGTTCCTTAAGCTGGAAATAGATCTCTTCCTCTTGAAGTGCCGTGCTCATGAGACCCTGTAGAGTGTTCTTCTCAGCTGTCTATTTATTGCACATTCTTCAGAGAATTTTGGACCATATACGGCTGCTTTCTGCTTCTCCGTTGGCCCAGAAATACAGATACTTCACTGTTGGCTACACAAAATTACTTTTCCTATTCTCCTACTAAATTCTGAGAAATATATAAGCTCAATGTTCAAATCACTCAGTAATTACCATCTCCCTCTCCTTCTCTTATACTACCTGACAGTGGCCTTGTGACCAACACTAACAAAATACTCACTAGAACACTAGGACAGCCTACATTTAACTATCCGTATTGCCATATCCATGATGCTCAGACAGCAGCATGTGGACTCTTCATGCTGAGTAACAGGATGTGAAGCACCTTCGGGATTGTACTTTTGTAACATGTGGTAATGCTGATCTGAAAACACCCATGGAAGTGCCTGAAAGCAATTATGAAGCCTATACGGAAGGCTAACCCAGTGTTTTGACAGATCTTGGCAAAAGTTTGATGTGAACATACTAACACAATTCTGTATTTGTTATGGCTGGTACCGAGCCAAGTGTTTCACACAAGAAACTAACTTTGAAGTTCAACAAAGTCAGAAGAATGACAAAGGCATTCAAGAAGTTCTTTACATAATTCCTGCATATTATAACCTGCTCCCTTCTGCGCCTTTGAGCAGAGCTCAAGCTGCTTGACAGAGCCAAAGTTTAAATATTAGCAGGTGAAGTTTGTCACGTAAAGCAAGATCTACCTGGCATGACACAACAAAAAAACGGGACAGCCTTGCTGCACAAATGCACTAGAGTTTGTGTTTCCACATTCAAGAGAAAATTAACATCACAGTCCAGATATCAATAGCCAGTTATTTCTTAGTCCTGGACTGTCCACTTTAAATTGTGCTTACGATTCGCAATCGTAAATAAGACTGTATAAACAAATTAACCTACTTTCAGACAAGAAAAGTAATTCCTTCAGAAGTATTATTCATGAAAATAAGGCTTTAGATAATTTGCACAGAATCAAAGGGGAGGAAGAAGTTATGGGGTAATCAGACAACAGTCAGCATCAATGGGAGAGATCACCTGGAGGAACCCCTCTCCTTTTGCTACCACATACAAACATGCTAGAGAACTGTGGTGTTGGTCAACCAGCTGATGCTTTAATACTGATCGTTGGATATTATCACCCTTTCATGCAAAAGCTGACAGAAAGAGACATTTTCAAAAGACCAAATCATCAATTACCAAAGGAATGTGCATACGTACAGAACTTGTGCTTTAAACAATGCTAAAGACAGATGTATCTGGAAGCAGATCAAGTATGCTGTATGTTTCATTTGCCCCTTCCTTTGGCTTTTGCCAGTGTAATGTGTGCTCCCAGAGATTTACATCAAGCTTCAATCAATTTATATGGTAAGTAATTAAATTTGAATTAACTTACATTTTCATAATGCACACAGCTTTCAGAAGCAAACACTAAGTGCTGCAGGCACCTTGAGCTAAATCATAAGGGATACTTGCTACATATGGTAATTACACAGAAAAAAAGCTTTTAGCGGAAGCCAAGAAGCAGTTCTGTTTATTTTTATAGGCTTTATCATGAAAAAAATGTGGAAACTGTGGCTGGTAACATTCAGACATACATCACTAGGATAGTGACTACAGTAAGAACTAAAACACCTCTCAGCAGGTATTTGGGATTTAATGCCTATTCAGGAGCCTTGTATCTTTTCTGCCTACTGATAGAGTAAGACACAGCAGAATTCTGCTCTTGTCCTGACAGTGAGGACATGGTTAAGTCTTGCGTACAGGAACAGAGGTTTTTCAGGCTGCATCAACAGCCCATAAAGACATAAAACTAAAGGACTCAGCTCTGGAGACAGACTTGGCTCAGTCTACATCCCAGTGATACAGACCGTCATGGTTGGTATCAGCCATGAATTATTTTTAAAAACATTGTGTGCGCATGTCCAGTCAGAAACTGATCAAGACAACAAACTTATTTCATGTTGAATGGTAGTAAGAAAAATAAAAGCGTTTTATATTTCAAGTAGTCTCTACAAAGTGTTGTGAAAACAGAACCTGTAACTTTCTGCTCAGGAAAGAGGAAATGGAGTGGGGGAGTAAGGGGAGGAGAAAGACTGAAATACACATTTTTTTTTGTTGTTGTTGTGGATTATTTTAATCTCCATCTAGAAGAGAGAATGAGAAATATCTCCCCAGAATGTTGCCAGATAGTTGCACGTTCTTCTTACTTTCCCCTGGAAGTTATTATACTATTAATGAGTAAGAAACAAAACCACACACATGGAGATTTTCCTTTGCATGGTGCTCAGTATTTTCTGCTGACATTGTACCAGCAGAAGCATTAGATATTGTCATTTAATTCTTACTGTAATCTAAAACAAATATCCTATTCCTAGTGGTAACTGTAATTAAATCATTTTGGGTACTGAGAGTGTCTACAGATATTCTTTACAACCACTAAAGATTTCCTTCCATTATTCACCATCAAGTTTACCTTTTAGCAAGCTATTCAAATCAAAAATTAAAAATAACACTTCAACACACAATATTTCATATCTGTCTCCTACAATACTGTACAGTGGTAGTACAGTATTTCAGCACACAATAAGTAGGATAACGTATGACCTTGAGTCTTACAAAAAAACAACAACAACAAAAAAGAAAAATACATTAATATGCATTCCTACAAAAAGACAGAAACTTTTACTAAAGTGTCCTGTGAGTTACACCTAAGTTGAGATTAGACTGACTTACTACAAAAGCAAGAGAAAATGTCTGACAAAAAACATACCTTTGTATTTAGAAAATTACATGGATTTTGAGTTTGGTTTTTATTACAGTGGGACTTTCTATGAAGATTATAACATTAGGGAGGGATGAGATTCACCTGTCTAGAAGAGACAGGGCAATCTTTGGCAGCAGGCCAGTCAATCTACTGAGGTGGGCTTTAAATTGAAGGAATTGGGAGCAGGGTCCAAAATGACAATGGTCTTTTCAGCAGTGCCCAGCCACAGAACAAGGGACAATGGGCACAAACTGAAACATAGAAAATTCCACACAAACATGAGGAAAAACTTATTTACTTTGAGGGTGACAGAGCATTGGAACAGGCTGCTCAGAAAGGTTGTGGAGTCTTCTTTTCTGGAGATATTCCAGGCCCACGTGGACACTTTCCTGTGCAACTACTATCATGATTTTTTTTTAGCAGAGGGCAGGACTAGATGTTCTCCAGAGGTCCCTTCCAACACCTGCAATTCTGTGATTTAGAGGTGCCATATCATACCAGGGTAAGAGGAGTATTTTTGCTTCTAAATTGAGCTGAGATAATGATTAAATCTTTAAATCTTTAAAGTAATATAAAGAACGAGTAAATAAGCAACAAACCACTAACAACATTTCTTCCTTGATTATATAATGACAATTAGCAAAACGCTGACTTGAAAGAAAGGAGGTAACAGACTATAGAGCCCTTTGCCTTTGACACCAGCCATAATTAAAGAGAATAATGAACAGCTCATAGTACAGCATCTGTCCTTGTAATTGAATTCATAACCTCTGGCAGCAGTGAGTGCACACAGCATTGCACAGTGCAGGCACTGGTGCTGAGGACAGCCTTTCCCAAGGCTAAGAACTGAAAGAGTCAAGGTGGCCAAATTCATTGCCCTACCCATACGTGCTACCAAAACAAGCCCATAGGAATCACCATGGGATGCACCAGCAGCACCAGAACATGCTTTCCATCTGAATATCCTGTTAGCCTTCTTCATGAATGCAGCAGGAGCCACGAGCTGTTGGGGGCTACATCACCCAACTCAGCCTGGCCCTGAAGGGCACAGCAGTGATGAGCCCAGGCCGGCAGTGTTTGGCACCTAGAAGAAAGAGGCCATGGCTTGGGTCTGATGAGATCACCAGCAGAAGCAGAGGTAATGTAGGACATCACAGACCACAAGAATTACAAATAATCCCATCACACAAAGATGAGTTAACTGCACAGCCACAGAAATGATTCCCT